ACAGCTGATACCAACTGATGCAGCACGTGGTAGACAAAAGGGATATATGTTCTTGATGAGTTCAAGAAACCAGAAGAATATATAATTTTATTAATGATCAACTGATGAAACCTTTGATAGGAGTACAATATATATAGGGAAAATCCCAAGTCTCCTATTCCTAATAATATTCCTATTAAATATCTTGTTAGGCAAGATAAAGATTTAATTTCCTAATGTATTCCTACTAATTATCTTGTTAGGCAAGATAAAGATTTTATTTCCTAATTAAAGCAAACAACTAAAGAAACTAAATAAAAGATAATTAGGAAACAAATAATTAAATAATAAATAATAGATAATAATTATTTAGACGCGAAGATGGTCGTATTTCTCCAGAAATGCTAGCGCGGCCTCGTCTTCATCACATAAGCTATCAGAATCCAACATTTTTGAGATCGAGAAATATAATTAAAATAAAAGTCTGGATTATATCACAAGAATATCCAACTCTCAATATTACTGCTAATATCGATCTAATGACTTCGTACAATTAACTACTCCCATAACAAGAACTACTGCAGTTTAACAAAACTGCAACATTAAACACATAAATATTTTTTAAAGATGGACGATCATTATCTGAAAAAATATTTTAAGTTTGCTTCGCAGGTCCTACAAAATTATATGATTAGTGCACAACCAAAATAACAGAAGGTTTCTTAAACACAGGTCCTGAAATAGGATCAGTAAGAGCTGAAAAAATGATTGTCATGTGAGGAACACGTGAGGACTACACAAAGAAATTTCGTGCATAACTTTATCCGAAGAATATATATATATGAAAGTTGTTTTTAAACCCATTATATGATTAGTGCACAACCAAAATAACAGAAGGTTTCTTAAACACAGGTCCTGAAATAGGATCAGTAAAAGGTTTCTTAAATAGGTCTCTTTGAAAGGCCTTGAAATTAACCAAGATGTAAATATTTCTTCGCAGCCTCGGTCTGCAGTGGCGGACTAAACCTCAGCGCCAAGGACGGCCGCCGTGCAAACTACAGGCCTAAAATCCTTCAATCAAGGTGGGTAAAATATTTTTGTCCAGAAGATATGGAGTTTCTGGCAGTTGCATATAGTACTTATTTGTTAGCTTCTTATGTATCTCCTTGTATGTTAGATATTACATGCTCAATATGTGGGATCTACTTGGAATGTGTTTTTGTGAATGAATGGCTGTAAATAGTTGCTCGGGTATAATCCTAATTATTGATGGTATTACATGAGTTTAATTTTGAAAAATTGGTTACGAATATAAAGGTGAGTTCAAGACATACAGTCATTGGTGTATCATGAGTTTTGTGAGGTAGTCTTGTTGAACTGGAGGTTAAAAGACAGAAAATATTTCAGAACTTTTGCAAACAACGCTGCTTCTTTATCTCTACGTTTTCTGCCCCTTTGGTCATTTGTTTTGGCTGTCTTATCTCTAAACAACTCGTAGTTCTATATTATGGCCTTTTGTAGACGCATGAATGACCCAACTATCGGTTTCACAGTGAAAGTTGATCTTAAGTTATGCTCAAAGTAAGACGACTGTGCACTAGCTTGATGCTTAGTATCGTCAAAAATTTTCCGCCTTTTCTCCTGTATGCTAGTTTATGTTTTGAGTCGGCACGAGTTGTCGTCTTAGCTTTTAATGGGTTTAAAAACAACTTTCATATATATATATTCTTCGGAGAAAGTTATGCACGAAATTTCTTTGTGTAGTTCTCACGTGTTCCTCACATGACAATCATTTTTTCAATCATTTTTTCAGCTCTTACTGATCCTATTTCAGGACCTGTGTTTAAGAAACCTTCTGTTATTTTGGTTGTGCACTAATCATATAATTTTGTAGGACCTGCGAAGCAAACTTAAAAACTGCAGTAGTTCTTGTTATGGGAGTAGTTAATTGTACGAAGTCATTAGATCGATATTAGCAGTAATATTGAGAGTTGGATATTCTATGATATAATCCAGACTTTTATTTTAATTATATTTCTCGATCTCAAAAAGGTTGGATTCTGATAGCTTATGTTTGTAATAGGGCCAGTTGGATAGGAGCATCTAGTTTTAGTTGGACTTGTATACTATGCTGGACTAGGAATTTCAATCTTGTTTATTTTTCATTATCAGATAGCTGGATTTTGACTATGCAAGTTGTACTCTTTGATTTTTTTTGTATTTTTTATTTTTATTTATTTTTTCCTTCTGTTTGGACTTTGGATTGTAGAAATAATTTGGGGTGTTATGAACTTTTAGTCTCTAGTGAATTGGATTTCTGAATTTTGATTTTCCACAAGCTCTTCAAACAGAGTTAAGATGAATATAAATTAAAAGTTACAAGCTTACAAACACTTCAGCAAGTGTAGAAGTGTAATTTTATTACCTTTTTATGTATTTTCTTATCCAAAACGTAAGTGTTGCGCATGGTGAGAGTCATTCTAACACATTCCTGTGTCTTTTTTATGTGGCAGGTCTCAAAGTATTTCTACCCCGTCCTTCATAATCCCCGACATCATAGCCCAGACCTCCTAAAAGATGGATTTCACACGGGAGTGGAAATCTCTCTGGCCCGTATCCTCCACTTTCTCCGCACCAGTTCTTATCCCGAACAAATCACATGAATCACCCATTGGCCCACTGATATTCACCCCTATGCCTAGTTCCTCCACCATGATCCTCCACTCTCCCTACCTTTCCCCCCGCCTTCCCCCGCCTTATCCGTCCCTCTCCCTTTCCCGTTTTATCAGAATTTACAATTCTGTCTCTCTCACCTCCTCCTCTGTACCCTCTCTACTTGGTGCCGAACTTCTCGACTACTCGTCGTCCTTCCACGGTTTCAACTGTCTCCAGTTGCTTCGGATTCCGAACCGAAATCTGATTGTCGCATTCTTTCTAACCGGGGAAAATTCCAATACAGTGGGTTTCTCGTTGCTTCATGTGAGAGACGGGATCCTGAGCGTTCGTTCACAAATGGATGACCTTTTCCATGTGGCAAAAGGGGGTAATTTGAGTCGTCATCGGATAACCCTTTTTCTGGTTAATCCGGTTGATGAGTTCTGTTGTGATGGAACACTTGGAGATGTGGGTATTAAACCCAAGACTGTCACGGTTGGCTTTCTGATGGTTTGCTCGCAATTTTCTGTCTTTTGGTACGAAATTGCGATGAATTATGTATGTGGACAAAAGGAGTATCCCGTTCGTGTGGATTATCTTGGGTGTGCTGATGCTAAGAACCTTTTGGGCAATATGGTGGTCAGCGCATGTTGGAACCCCCATCTGAAGGAAGAATGCTTGGTTTTGTTGGGGAATGGTGATTTGCTGTTGTTTGAAGTTAATTCTTCATTAAGGGATAACGCCCAGGCGAGATTTTTGTTCGGTGGAATTAATAGGGCTATTAACAAAAGGATGCACATCTCATTGACTGATAAGCTGGGATTGGAGAAAGAGGAAGGTCGTAAGAAAGTCCGGGACTGGTTGAAGTGTGAGTTCAGTTGGCATCCTAGGATACTTATTGCTGCTAACCGCTCTGAAGTTTTCTTGGTCGATTTAAGGTCCTCAGAGGACTGTGGTGTTCGTTTTTTGCTAAAGCTTGACATGTTATCTGAGGACCAGAATGATGGATTTTTCGCTCTGTCGAGGGCGTGTTTAGATGGGTTTTCCTTTACCGTGGCCACAAAACATTTGTTACTTCTTTGTGACGTGCGGAGGCCATTGATGCCCGTGTTGAGGTGGGCCCACTGCATTCCAAATCCACGATATGTGGAGGTATTCAGACTATCTGATCTGAGAGCGAATGCAGAAAGTACAGAGTACAAATTGGCTTCAGAATTGGGCTACTGTATCATGTTGGGGTCTTTTTGGGACAACGAGTTTAGTCTTTTCTGTTATGGCCCCGAGTGCAAAGGAAACGAGTCTCTATCTTCTAAAATTTCAAAGATGTGCTACTCGTACAATGCATGGGGACTCCCGTCAGAGCTTTCGTTGTCAGATTGTGCTTGCAAATGTGGTAGTTGTTTAGTCCGGGAGGAATTCGCAGAAATGTCCCGTCCGGTCTGGGTTGACTGGAGGCAGAAAAAACACTTGGCTTTGGGATTTTGCATTCTCGAGGCGGATATTTCTGCTCAGTTGTTGCCTGTAGGTAGCTTTGGTGGTTTTGTGCTAATAAGACTAACGTCATGTGGGAAGCTTGAAGCTCAACCCTACCATGCAGCATGGGAACCAGAGAACTTTCGGGAAGCAGGGCACAAGAGGAAAAGCGCTGATTTGGAGGAGAATCGTTTATACGACGCAACGGAGTTGGAATTTGAGGGGGTCAAGAAAATGCAGCACATCAAACTGATTTTTCTTGACGCCTTCAGAAAAGGCAAGATAGAAGAAATCATCGTCAACAGGAGAGAGAAAATCGAGGAGAGTGATGAACGTGCCGGGTCTCGAAAAGGGCATTTTGGTAAGTCGGATTGGAATTTCCATAAGGAAATGTGCCACAAGCTGAAGGGTCTCGGGCCTCTGGAGGCCCGATCATCCGTCGGGATCTCAGTCGTGTTGGGTGACATCAGCTGGCCTATGAGCGTACACGAGATTGGTCTCATGAGTGTGTTTGCTGCTCTGCCCACGGGTCTATTGCGGTCCGCTTTTGCGGTCTACTCAGATTTCGATATGGATCATGGCAATGAGCCCCTCGAGTTTCTCGATATTCCAGATCAGCCCCAGGCCCCGCCTTTCCCTTTCAGGAGGTCGTCCTTCCGCAGCAATCGGTGGTCAACCAGAGTTCAGCCCCCTGATGCCCTTGTTGGTCCAGTTATCCCTCCTCTTTTCTTGACTGCGCTATATAGGCTCTTGGTTGAAGAGCGTAAAAGCAAAAGAGAGCTTTACCCGGAAAAATCGGAAGCTTTTTCAACTCATGTTCACTTCAAAAGTCAGTGCGAGAAGGTTATGGAGGCTGTCAGTGAACACATTGCTGAAAATCGGGAAGACGATTATGTGTCGCTTGCGGACGACATTGAGAGTATGGAAAGTCTTACACAAAAATCGAAGTTCTCTTTTTACAAGCCGTCTGCTTTTTCCGAAAGTCCATCTTGTTTGGAAAAGTGGGAACCCGGGCCCAGGAGTTGTATATTTTCAACCCATGTTTTCGGGAGAAGCGAATTCATGGAGTCTGATATTGGTCCAGGAATGGTGGGGAAGGAGCTGTTTGACGCGGGCTGCCCGATCAGGTTGAAATTTGAGGATCTTAATACTGATTTCGGACCAAAAGAGTTGGAAACATTGCGGAATTTGAAGCAGCAGGATATGGATTTCCAGAAAAGTTTTAAGCCATATCAAGATTACATCAATAGGTGCTGATACGATTGGTTGCTGCTTTCACTTTTTCCGCTTGGAAGTGGAATTCGCACTGCGCGTCCCTGCAGAACAATCCAGTTGGTATTTTCATTTCTGAACTATATTGATTTCTTTTCCCTGAGAACTGTCAACATTGGCTTTAATCTCGATTCCCATTGTTCGTTTTCCTTGCAGACGTAAAGAGGCGTGTTGCCTTTGCAATGCTCATGTTTTGATGGTGTGTCTCCTTTACTCTGCCTTGTTTTAAATTCATGAAGTATAGTTGAAGAGTGATTTATAAACTGCTCTAAATTAGTTTAGCCGGTTTTACTATGAAACCAACATTTGACTTCATAGTGGAGCCAACCGTTAGTTTAGCCATGTACATTTTTTCTCTGGGCCATTGGGTTGAAATGCAATTTTTTTTAGGAAACTAAACCATTCCGAGTGATTTTTATTATATACATACGATACTTAAAATTATTTGCAAATATACCATAATTGAGAATCTTATTTGTATTTCAAATAGGCTGGCCAATTTATGGTTACTGCTGTGTTTAAAGGAATTTGTAGGGAGTCAAATCAATAATTAAATTCCAATCAATTACATCTTATTTCTCTTCCCTCTCACCTTCATTTTTTCTTCTTCCCCCGATTTCTTCCCCCTTCCTTTTTCTTCAGATCTGTCTCTTCATCCCAATTTATAGGGCTCCATGTGAAGGTGCGGATTTTGGCGGCTTCAATTGAGGGCGACTTTGCAACCGGCGGCGACGGGACCTGGGAGTGGCGCGGTTTCTGGACCTTAGACGACTCGGGGGTTCGGGCGGCAACCAGCGGGTTCAGCTGCATTCTTCATCGCCTCTCGATTGGAAAAACTGAGCCCTAATCCCACCGGATAACCGCAGCAACAAACTGATACCGATTCAAGCTTCTCGATTTCAAGGCTTTCCATGCTCAATTTCAATCAAGCTCCTCATGAATTTTTCCATGGTGATATACTGTAGATCAATCTCCATTTACTGTTCAAAAACGATGTATTGATATTAATGTTTATGATGTTTCAACTGATGATGTTTCAGTTTTTTTTGAGGATTTTTTTCTTTGATTTATTATGTTACAGGATTTGTTGCGTATATGTACAATGTATTTTTTCAATATAAGTTCCAGTAAGCACAATCGGTAGTATATGTTGCATGTATAGACAATATATGTTCAATATATGATATGATTATATTTTTGATAAGTTAATATTTTTTTTTACTGTACATCTGTTTTGTCTTCCATTTTTATGTATATATGCGTTGCACTTTAGTGGATAATAAATGTCTACATCTTTAAATTCGAAATTTGATCTCAATCGATTGTTGTGCTCAGACATCAACTACACTTATGAATTTGGAACATATCTTTGCAACCAAACAACTAGATCAGATCACGCATATTTTCGGTATATAAAACATAGATACACGTGTTCTTAGTTGTACATATACATAAAAGATACATAAAATATACACTCAAGTTTTTCGTAATTCAAATGCGGTAGATCTGGACACACATATATACATAAACGATACATAAAATATACACTCGAGTTTCTCGTAATTCAAGCCGCCGGCAGATCGGGACACTAATACACATAAAATATACACTCGAGTTTTTCGTAATTACAGCCAGCGGCAGACGGCAAACCCGGACATCGATAACAGTTGAGGAGACTGGTTTTAATTTTGCAGATTTTTTAGGAAACTTCCACATCTCGTGATTGTATATATTAATTGTCATGTAATAATTTTATTTTTTTTTTTTACTTAATCATGCATCTCGTCCTTTAGGGTGATGTTATGGTAAGTAATTATTTCTTCATTCGTTTCTCATAATATTGTACATATATAAATAATTTGTTTAAGTTATGTATAAGTGCAGTTAAATTTTATATTATGTATATATGCACATAAGTGTAAAACACTACCGCATACGTGAAAATTTCCCTTATTTTATCATACACAGGGGCGGATCTAGAAAATTTATTTCAGGGGACGAAATAATTTTCAATATGACATACTTCATTAAAAAGACAAAGTTCCATTTTTAGAATAGAAAAAGAAAAAAAGTAGTTCAAAAAATACATACCGTTCAAACTTTGTGACTATTAGAATTGTGTTCGACGTTCTTTCAAGTCACGAAACCCATCGATGATTGACTCGATAGTAATGGATCTTTCTTTCAACAAAGATAGTCAAAGAATTTACAAGAAATTCAACTTCCATTTTACTTCGAAGTTTAGATTTAACGATAGCTATAACCGAAAATGCACGCTCTGTGGTCGACGTAGACACAGGAATAGTAAAAATCAACCTTATTGAAAAATAGCGTAAGTCTATATATTACTATATGATTCATAAATAAAAAAAATTGATATAAGTCTATATACTATCCATCTGTTCTTGTCTCTTCAACAAT